ATTCATGCAAATTTACCAGAAACTCTTATAATATGTTAGGATGATACATAAAAATTTTGATGATTTTTATCTTCTGTATGTTATTTTTCTTCTATTTTCCCAAGATTTAATACACTTAAATGTACAAAAATCAGAAAAATTGTGTTAAACTTTTTGAAAACACATATTAATATTTTTCCTAGATTATGTACACTGTAAAATAGTTATACAAAAATTACAAGAATTTTTCATGATAATTTACTATTTTTCCATGATTTTATGATTATTCATGGAATTAAATGGTGAAAAATAGTTAGACAAATCAAAAATTCAAGAAAATTTATCTTAAGGTCTTTGACTTCAATTAAAACTGAAATGCAAAATTTGGGAAATTTTAGAACTAAATTGATTTAGTTTTTGAATATTTAATCATTAGAACACCTCTTAAAATGTTAAATATTAACATTTCAATAATGAGAATTTTCCACTTAAATTGTTATATAACAATTGATCCACTGAAATTTAATTTTCACAGAAAAATGTTTGTAACTTATCAATATTAAATTTTGACACAATATTGGCATAATTATATTGTACTAGTATGTATACTAGTGTTAGATTTCGATTAGAGACTCACTAGCGAATACCATTATTGTAGGAATCGGTAGTGGTACACGTGGAACGTAGTTCAAGGCACCATTTGCATCATCTCAATGCATTGTGAGTATTCATGCACTCCCCTATTTTCAGTTTTTATGTTTTGGGGTGGAAAAGCATGTCCCGAAAAACTATTATTTGTTCGTTGTATTTTAAATTGATTTGTATCAACCATGATTGCTATTTTATTGCTATATCTCTCTATGTATGTCTATGCAACACGGAACATGAGAACTTATCGTATTAAGGCCCTTCCATTATCTCTAACCATTAACTCTTTGAGCCAATGGTCATTATGGATAGCGCTATTAGGAATTGACAACTCCTCACTCGCCCGATTGTTGGAGTGCATGATACCATATTAATCTATGGAACGATAAGCATAGATCTTGATAGGGCTTCAGTCATAGGCTTGGTTGAGAACTCATTGTTTGCTCATACACATACAAACTCGTTCCTTATTATAGCAATAAACTTGTTTATTAATTATAGCAATGAACTTTGTTTCTCATTACAACAACGAACTTTTATTACTAAAAACTTTTATACATGTTTTAGCAATGAAATTGTTTGCTCCTTGTAGCAACAAAATTGATTCTCATTTTAGAAATGAAACTTGTTTACTCGTTTGAGTAACGAACTTTATCTTCCATGAGAATATGAATGTTGCATCTTATTCGGGCAACATACTTTATCTCTCATGATGACAAAGAACTTTGTTTTTACAAACTTATTTACTCCTTTTAACAATATACTTTTATTATTGGAAACTTTTATCAAAACTTTGATTTCGATTCATGAAACCAATATTATTTTTAAACTTGTGAGTACTCACCAACTATTTTTATAGTTGACGCTCGTTTTACATGCTTTTTCAGGAATCATCGAGTAAGTGGCACTTAGGGACACTTCACTTTTAGGAGCATTCGCATGTGTTGTATTTCAATTTACATTGTAATTTCTTTTAAAAGTTGTTCAAACCCATTGTAAAATTGTAATGATTTTTAATACTATGGTTGGTGTTGTCTTTTAACTTTTGCTATGAAACCCTTTATACTGCCACGCCTCGTGTTTCCGCTTTAGCGGGGTGTGACACTACACCACCCGAACTTGAGGTTGTGGTAGAGGATGATGTACCTTTAAATGATAATGATACCCAAAGGATGTTTGAAATCAAAGAAGTTGTAATTGAATTGGAAAAGTCTAATGAAGAGTTTCATGAGTTAGAAGCGTCCAAAGTTGGGGAGTGTCACAACTAGCATTCTTAGCTAGGAAATTATGTCCTCATGTAAACATCAACTATTGTAAGACTTGTACTAACACGTTAAAGTTTACATTATGATTCCTAATAAACCATGTATTGTTAAAATGAAAAGCATATATGTCTCTCTCTCTCTCTCTCAAAATCTCTCTATATATCTCAAATCTCTCCCAAATCTCTCTATGTATCTCAAATCTCCCTATGTAGTTTCCTTAGTCGAAACCAACTCAAAACAAAAGGAGAAAACTTGAAAGAGCAAGCCCAGTTCGGAACCCCCTTAAGTAACTTCGGACCCTCCCACCGGACAATCTCGCTCCGGACATCTGCTGATCCGGAACTGCCGACTTCGGAAAGCTTCGTACCAATCCGGAAGATCTAGCAGCTTCGGACCTTCTAGGAGAACTGGACAGCTTCGCACTTCGGACCGAAAGCCTTCGTTGCCTCGGAACCCTCGCAGCCTTGGAAGGAAATGGTTCCGGATAAGAGCTGACTTCGGAACTAATGGATTGACTCCGGAATTTGAGGATTGACTCCGGAACCTAAGAAGAACTTCGGAACTCACCATTTGACTCCGAATTTTAGACCATTTCGGACCATTTCGTCATTTTACGAGGATTTGACATCGGGAATCCCACCAAACTCGTGTTTTTCATAACTTAGACTCCTTAAAACCCTAATTTATGCCAAATTTGAATAGTTAAAGCATATTTACATAAAATAATATTTAAGATTTCTAAAGGTATTATTTAAATCATAAGATGTGAATAAGATAAGGATAAGAGGGTTTGACTTTATGATTTGATGTAATTCCCATTCTCCATGCAAATCACAGTAACCCATACATTACCCACCAAATAACAATGCTTTGAACCTTCAAATTTCCAATTGATCTGTTAATAGAATCCGTAATTGTTCTTGTCAACTGGTAATAAGTAACAAGTATCTGATTGGTTCCGTGTTTTGGATTTAACTCTGGTATAAACTTAAAAATCATATATTTACGCTTCTGAGCTTGTGAGAAGTATTGGGTATTGCTAGGAATTTTACACAAATCTTAATGCAACTTTTCTGATTTTAATTAAGAGCTTGTTTAATTAGACAATAAAAAGTTAGGGTTAATTGAAGAGCTTGTTTTGGTTAATTTAACCTCACGCTATAAATCCTTAGCTCCATCGCACAACAGACACGACTGCAAGTATGATATTGGCCTCCGTCGAGAAAATATGGAGAGAAAGGTACTCTCCACATTAGTGATCCAACGTATGCTGACGATGGGCTCCCTCCTCCCCATGAATCGTGGAACCCCACAAGCATCAAACTCCTTGACGGTGACCTCACGACTCCATGGTCGACTAACCTCCAACTCGGCTCGTAGAATCCTAAAGCGCTCGTCATCGCTGAAATCAACTCATCCTTGACTGTGCTGATTATACCAGACAAATCCTCTATTATGAACCTTGAAACCTCTGTAGTGATGATGTCATAGACATCCCTTTCACTCAGATCTGAATCAAAATGCCTCAAGAAATGCCTATACTAACATCACTGAAATGCCTCACGAATGCACAGTTCTACACAATCCAGAATATGATAGACATTCTAATAAGTGTCTCTACCTTAAAACCACAACGAAACAAGGAGTATGTAAAAAGGATAAATCAGAAATTCTAAGGCTATCAAATTTTAATTATGTACAATCCTTACGTCATTCGATTTACAGTTCAATAATATCAACCAAATACTCGACAACACATACTACAATCAAAACATATATGACATACGAGACATCTATACAAATCAGACAATTCTAACATGCAATTCCCGAACAGATCCTTAGCCTAAAGTCTAGCATGCATATCAATCCATAGCACAAATACATAACTATATGGTATATTAAGAATCGCTTACTTTCTGCCTGACTATACGCATCACATCCTTTTCTTTATAAAATCCTTCTTAAAAAAACATTTTCTTGTAAACGATTTTACAAATCCTCAATTTGAGTTCAAACACACTACGGGACGTGCCCGAATCCCTCAAACCAAGACTTTGATACCAACTTGTAACGTCCCCAAATTTCAAAGGAGATTTTCCAATTTAAAGAAAGTTAACTAATTTAAACCTTTTTCTTAAAAGCATGAAGTGACATTCATTTGTTCAAAAATCATAATATAAACAGAGTTGATTTACGAAACAACAGAAACCAAATCTTCGATGTGAGTGTACAGTCCTACCGTGCACCTTTTTCCCCGTCCTTGTCCTCGTTGTAGAATTTTCGGATATCAAATTTAATTAAGTGAGAGGGGGATGACAACTTCCAGATAGTTGGAGGAGGCATAATTTCATCCCTCCCTCGTTTCCTGTTTCTCCATTCTGTTGTGATGGCGACTTCATCTCTACCAGGGAGAACTGGAAACCCTAGACGACATGTATATCTCTAAACCGAAGTGCACAGGCGGCGACGACGACATTCATTTTGCCCTCTCCGTATCGCTTCAATACACACATACAAGGTGTGTATGTTTTATGTTTTTTTTTGCTCCAATTGGTGTTTGTACAAGAGGGTAGTAATGGTGAATGAGGTGGTTGTCGATAGTGTTTCTGAGAGAAAAAAAGGTGATGGTCGACGGTGGTAATGATATTGTTTGTCGAAAAATTTAAGGGAAAATGGTTTAGAGTTTATTTTATTTTATTTTGCATACTATAAATTATTGTAAGAAAAGTAAAATAAATAAAAGAGTAAAAAGGACATAATAGTCATTTCATGTATCCAACATGGATGAAACGTGCAAATTTAAAAGTAACCAGGAATGACATCTGCAAGTTAATTTTTAAAAATAAAGAGATATGAATTTGTGTAATTTACTCTATTCTTAATTTATTATATTGAAAGACTTATTTGCAAAATATTGACACATTTTGATGGATGAGAAAATGATATTGATCCCTTCGATTGAAAAAAACAATTGTGTGTGATTTGTGGACTAGTAAACATATATCGTTTCATTCAATCCTCGGCCGACCCGACCTGACCCGGCCCGGCCCGAACAAGCACCAAAGATGATGTTAGAGAATGGAGAGGAGAGTGCAGTAGCTATGAATTGTGATGTACGTATAAAACTGTATACAAACACAACCACCGTTTAACCGTTAATTGAATATATACAAGACAAAGACACCTCTTCCCATCTTCATTTCTTGAAGCAAACGACGACGTTAACTCCTACCCCACCCTACCAATACATTTCCTAGTTGTTGTTGCTTCAGATCTCTACCTTCTTCTCCACTAGTAGTTAGGGTTTCATTGTCTGATCTCGCTTTTCTATCTATATTATTACTATTTCTCCAACTTACATACATATACTTGAGGAGATTCGTACTTGTATATCTGGATAGATCGAATCATCGATGCGAAAATTGAACTACGCATCGTGATTTGATTTGGGTTTCTTCTGCTCTATTGTTAAGGCATTGGTGATTCCCGAATCGAAATCCGCTTGTTTCAATCAAAATGGTGGCTTCTGGACCTCTTACACCTGGCCAGGTAAAGATTTAACCAATGCATCTTAGGTTAAAAAGCTTATTTTGGTCAGTTAAATGACTTAAATCTCTGATCTGTTCTTAGTTGGTTTTGTAAATCCTGATTCTGGGATCTGGTTCGATGTGCATTTGTTTGTTCTTTTGATCTAAATACCATTGATCGACTTTGATTAGATTGTAAAAGGAAGTTGATGAACTTGAAATTCATATAGTGTGGGGAAATGTGTGTTTTTCACTCTGAAGTATTGTCAGTTAATGATCTCAGGTTGTTGATATGTATCATTGAAATTGACTACTGTTTTTGGGTTGGCTTACTTCTGCTTTAGTATTTTCGATATTTTGAACTACAATTTGTATTGGCATTGTCTTGGAGAGAGCAATCATGTCAGTGTTCTGATAACTTTTGAAGCGGCTTATTGTTGCTCAATACTGAAGATAGATAATGTATTAGCTAACAGTAGCTTTACTCCTTCAGCTCTATGATTAGTGATTATTTATTGCAATACAATATTAGTCGAATCTTCACCATTTACCTCTTGTCCAGTATCCCACCTAAGGCAAATCCATTAATCACCATTTTTATCTCATACAATGCAAATTCATCACACGTTATATGGATCTAAGTATGTCATCTCATTCTGTCAATCTGTCAAATCTGAGACATAGGATAGATCATATCTCTAGTTCTGGATCAGTTATTTAACTTCATGCATATGTTCAATAAGCCTCTTATTCTACCAACATATCCTTCTACATCTACAGGTTAATGTACTTGCTAAAATCTAAATGTTTCGAAACAATGATACCCCTGAATCCCTGATGAATAATTACTAATCTTGCACATACTACCAAATATCTTTATAATCTGTACTAGTTTCTTAGATCAATCTATACACAACATCTTAAGTGCTTACTTCTTTGCATACTAAATTGTTGCCAATTAGCTTGAGTTCTGTAAAATTTGTATCCCTTTAGAATACCAATCTGTGTTAGAAACAACAAAAAGAAAAGATTAGTTAAATGAATACTTTATTCGATGTTTTTTAATGTGAACTTTATACCATTTACTGTATAAGCTGGAATGGAAACAGAACAACAGAAATAACAAACAAAGAAGTTTAGAGAGACCATACTTACTTTTTATTCAAAAGTAGTGTGAGACAATATAATAAGGTCTTTATTAAATGATTATTATCATCTTGAAGGTGTCCTTTTTGCTTGGAATCATCCCTATATTTGTTTCTTGGATTTATTCTGAGTGGCTTGAATACAAGAAGTCTTCTTCCCCATCTAAACTGTAAGTTTCTTGATTTCTTCATTCACTCTAACCTTCATTTATCTCTTTTGTCCACATTATGTCCATAAAAAAGAAAAAAAAACACCTTACTCATGTATTTTGGAAGCAGACATTCAGACAATAGTTTGGTTGAATTGGAAACTGTGGTAACTAAGGAAGATGATCGAGTTGTTTTGCTTGAAGGAGGCCTCACAAAGTCTGCATCAATGAGACAACCTGCTGCTTCCATTAAAGCAAACTTAATTAGGTTAGTTAACAATTAAGTAATAAAGATATCTTTTTTCATTGAAAATTTTAATTACATTCTCCACATCTTGGTTTCTAGATTTGTTACAATGGATGAGTCCTTTTTACTTGAAAATCGAGCAACCCTAAGGGCAATGTAAGTCATGTTACTTACTTTCTTGATGTTAGTTGTATTCTGATTTGTCTTTTTCTTTAATCTGATCAATTACATTTGATTTTACTATGTATATAATATAGGTCAGAATTTTGGGGGAATTATGTTCTATTTCTACTTATGTGATCGAACCCATTTGATTCCAGAATCTGCAAAGGTAAGGAATCCTTCAAAATCCATTCTTCCTATTTCATTAAAAGACCAAAATACCCTCCCAGTTTTTTAATTATTATTATTTTTTACTTGTGCAGAGCTACAATCGGGATCTTTTCCTGTTCCTATACAGTCTTCTTATCATTGTTTCAGCAATGACTTCTCTTAAAAAACATGGTGACAAGTCAGCATTTTCAGGAAAATCAATACTTTATCTCAATAGACATCAAACAGAGGAATGGAAAGGATGGATGCAGGCAAGAATTTTGTTCAGTATTTTTCTCATTTCCTAACCATTTTACAGTTTAAAAAAGGGTTAAATCTTATAAAAGACCTTATATATATTGTGTTTTTTTTTTCCGATTAAACCTCAACTTTTTATTTTTTTTTTCCTGAAAAAGGCCTTGTATTTTTTCATTTTTTCCGATCTGGCCCTTCTAGTCATTTTTTTTTTCAAAAAAACTAGTAAAATGTGAGGGTTTTTTTCGGAAAGAACTGAAATAGTTGAGGGTTTTTTTTCAGAAATAGTTTGAAGGATGAGGGTTTTTTCCGGAAAAAAAAAAAGACAGTTGAGGGTTTTTTCGGAAAAAGTGAAAAAAGAAGTCTTTTCCAGGAAAAGGGTTAATCTCATAAAACACCTTATATTTTGTGTTTTTTCCGGATTAAACCTCAACTTTATTCTTTTCCTGAAAAAGACCTTGCATTTTTTCATTTTTTCCAATCTGTCCCTTTTAGTCATTTTTTTTCCAAAAAAACTTGTAAAACGTGAGGGTTTTTTTTGAGAAAATCTAAAAAAGTTGAGGGTTTTTTTTCGGAAAAAAAGACAAAGTTGAGGGTTTTTATGGAAAAAGTGAAAACATGTCTTTTTCAGGGGAAAAAAAATAAAAGTTGAGGTTTAATCTGGAAAAAAAACATAAAATATAAGGTCTTTTTTGAATTTAATCCTTCTAGTCATTTTTTTTTCCAAAAAAACTTGTAAAATGTGAGGTTTTTTTCGAGAAATCTAAAAAAGTTGAGGGTTTTTTTCGGAAAAAAAGACAAAGTTGAGTGTTTTTCCAGAAAAAGTGAAAAAATAGAAGGTATTTTTCAGGAAAAAAATAAAAATAAAAACGAGGTTTAATCCGTAAAAAACACAGAACATAAGGTTTTTTATGAGCTTAACCCTTTAAAAAAAAGCAGTTATTTTGAAATTGATTATATCTTATTTTTTTTTTGTTTAATGTGACACAGGTTCTGTTTTTAATGTATCATTACTTTGCTGCTACTGAGATATACAATGCCATTCGTGTTTTTATTGCTGCATATGTCTGGATGACTGGTTTTGGAAACTTTTCCTATTACTACATCCGAAAAGATTTCAGTGTTGCAAGATTCTCTCAGGTTATTCTTTTTTTACTTTTAATCTAACCAATCTTTTTAGACGACAATGATGACAAGGGCATTTTCGTCTTTTTCACATACATGTCCCACCTTTTTTGGTTGGACAAAAGATTGCAATTATTTTAGGGTTAATCTCAAAAAAGAACTTATATTTTGTGTTTTTTTCCAGATTAAACCTCAAATTTATTTTTTGCTTGAAAAAGACCTTGTACTTTTTTTTTCATTTTTTCCGATCTTGTCCTTTAGTTATTTTTTTCCAAAAAAAGGGTTAATCTCATGAAAAACCTTACATTTTGTGTTTTTTTTTTCGGATTAAACCTTAATTTTATTTTTTGCCTGAAAAAAACTTTGTATTTTTTTTTTATTTTTTCCGAAAAAACCCTTAACTTTTTTTCCCAGATAAAACCCCTCACCTTCCAAATTGTTTCCGAAAAAACCCTCAATATTTTATAAGTTTTTCAGAAGAACATGACTAAAAGGGCCAGATCAAAAAAATAAAAAAATGTAAGGTCTTTTTCAGAAAAAATAAAATAAAATTGAAGTTTTATCCCGAAAAAACACAAAATTGTTAAACGTGAGGTTTTTTTCGAGAAAAAACTAAAAAAATTGAGGGTTTATTTGGAAGCATTTAGAAGACTGAGAGTTATTTTATTTTATTTTATTTTTTATTTTTTTTTCGGAAAAAAAAATACAAAGTTGAGGGCTTTTTCAGAAAAAATGAAAAAATACATCTTTTTCAGAAAAAATAAATAAATTCGAGGTTTAATCCGGAAAAACAACAAAGTATAAGGTCTTTTATGAGATTAATTAACTCTTTGGATTCATCTAAATAGTATTTTTTGTTTTTTTTTTTCTTTTTGTTGTTGCAGATGATGTGGAGGCTGAATTTTTTTGTGGCATTTTGTTGTATAGCTCTTAACAATGATTATATGCTGTATTATATTTGCCCTATGCACACTCTTTTCACTCTTATGGTTTATGGAGCACTTGCTATTGGAAGCAAATATAATGAGATCAAATTAGTGATGATTATGAAGCTCATTGCTTGCTTTCTTGTTGTCATTTTGGTGTGGGAAGTTCCTGGAGTATTTGACTTAGTGTGGGGCCCATTTGCATTCATATTAGGTATGTTTTAATGTTTTTTCTTCTCTTTAATGCGTGCTAATTTGCTATTTTTTATATGGGCTTTTGACATAAAAGTCCTTAAGTTTGTCAGGTTTTGTTGGTTTTCTTCTTTCTACAAATCTTTTATGTTTTTACCCTAAGTATGTTTTTTTAAATTTGCAAAAAAAAAAAAACCCCTTAAGTTTACAAATCTTATATGTTTTTATATTCTAATTGTGTTTTCCAAATTTGACATGAAAGTCCTTAAGTTTGTTAAATTTTGTCGGTTTTGTCCCTGGACACCTACATTGGGCATTAACGAGCAAAAAATCGTCACAGGGACTAAAGTGACAAAACTTGTCAAACTTAAGGACTTTTATGTCAAAAGCCCTTTTTATAGTCATTAAGTTTAATGGGCTAAGCATTTAATTTGAACAACTATACATGGTTGTTTCTTTTTGACTTAATCTGGATAGAATGACTTAATTGGTTAATCCAAAAAAACTTGGCTTAATGAATATTGTGGAATTTTTTTTTTTGGAATGTAAGGGTAAAATGGTCATTTTATTTAATTTAATGACTTAATTGGTTAAGCCAAAAAAACTTGGCTTAATGATTAGGGTTGCTCTCAAAAAAGACCTTATATTTTGTGTTTTTTTCCGGATTAAACCTCAACTTTATTTTTTGCCTGAAAAAGACCTTGTATTTTTTCATTTTTTCCGAAAAAGCCCTCAACCTTCTAAATGCTTCCAAAATAAACCATCAACCTTTTTTTTGTCGAAAAAAACCCTCACATTTAAAAAAATGGCTAAAGGGGCCAGATTGGAAAAAATGGAAAAATACAAGAGACAAAAAAATAAAGTTGAGGTTTAATCCGGAAAAACACAAAATATAAGGTCTTTTTTGAGATTAAACCTAATGAATTTTTTTTTAGAATGTAAGGGTAAAATGGTCATTTAATTTAAATTCAGATGGTTTATTTGGTCTAGAAAAGAAACAGACAATATTTATACATCACTTAATCCAGATAACATCATTATCCATTCAGCCACTTTACCAATATATGACTTATGTGAAAAAAATAAACAGCTCTTTAATCTTGTATGCTATATATGAGTGTTTCTTTTAATCTTTTAAAGTATTATTTAATTATTTATTTATTTATTTTTCTGTTACAGGTTACAGTGATCCTGCAAAACCAGATCTCCCTAGATTACATGAGTGGCATTTTAGATCTGGACTAGATCGATATATCTGGATTATTGGAATGATTTATGCATATCTTCACCCTAATGTATAAGCTTTTAAAAACTTTAACACCTACATAATATTTCTATAAAAATTATATTATATAATATATAATAATATTATTATTATCTCAGGTTGAAAAGTGGATGGAAAAACTTGAGGAGTCAGATAGCAAGAGGAGACGCACTGTTAAGGCATCCATTGTTTCTGTAGCTGTTATGGTTAGTCTTTATCTGATCAGGGGCATTTATGTCTTTTTCACTTATGAGAGAATTAATGGGCTTATGATAATTTTTTTTTCAGGGGGGTTATATGTGGTATGAGTATATATACAAGTTGGATAAGGTTACATACAACAAATATCACCCCTACACATCATGGATACCTATAACGTGTGTAATTAATTTTATTTTTTATTTTACTTTTATTTTTTTTCATTATCTGCTAGCAAATATTGAATGAAAAATTGCTATATATGTATATATTTTATAACCCATTATTATTTATCTAATTTTTAAATGACAAAAATGTTTGGGTTGATCTAAAAAAAAAAAACCTTATATTTTGTGTTTTTTTGGATTAAACCTCAAATTTATGTTTTGTTTGAAAAAAACATTGTATTTTTTCATTTTTTCCGAAAAAGCCATTGACTTTGTATTTTTTTCCGAAAAAAAACCTTCAACCTTCTAAATGCTTCCAAATAAACCCTCAACTTTTTTTAGTTTTTCTCGAAAAAAAAACCTTACGTTTTACAATTTTTTTTTGGCAAAAAATGACTAAAAGGGCCAAATCGTGAAAAATGAAAAAATACAAGGTTTTTTTCTGGCAAAAAATAAATTTGAGGTTTAATCCGGAAAAAACACAAAATATAAGGTTTTTTTTTTTTTTTAGATTAACCCAAAATGTTTTTTATTCTATAAGTTTCATGATTTTAATTAAATTGTAATTTACTCTCTAAATATAACAGAAAAAGGTTTTCTTTTATAATAATTTTATTTGGGTTTTAATGAGGTTTTGTAATGCTAAGTTCTATTATTTAATAAAAAAAATTTATTACTCACAATTAAATAATGCACAAACTTCTTGTTTTCAGTGTCTACATTTGCTTGAGGAATTTCACTCAACATCTTCGGAATTACTCATTAACTCTATTCGCGTAAGCTCTCTTTAACTTCCACTTTACAAGAACTATATTTACAAAAATACCCTTCCACGTATTCCTTACTATATATATTAAACAATTCAATCATATTTTTTTTTCCATATTTTTATAGTTGGCTTGGTAAGATCACTTTGGAGACATACATTTCTCAATTCCATATCTGGCTAAGGTGAGTACAACCCTCAATTATTTTCAAATTATAAATTTATGTTTTCTTTTTATCCATATCATTTTTTATCATTTCCCTATTTTTTTTTCAAAAAAAAAAATGATTTATATTTTCTAAAATGGCGCAGATCGGATATCCCCAATGGACAACCAAAGTGGCTTCTCTCATTCATCCCAAATTATCCAATGCTCAATTTCATGCTTACAACCGCAGTCTATGTCTTGGTTAGCAATATCTCCTTTCCACCGTTCTAATTAATGAAACCAGACTCATGACAAGGGCATTTACGTCTTTTGCACATACAAAGAAACTTAGGGCAAGTCCCTCTTCCAACTTTTTTTGGGCATCAGTCTCGATCCCTGTCCGATACATACCAAACACAGTACAAAGCTCTCATGTCCTGTCATATGTCATTTCATATTCTCCGGTACATGTCAAACACAGTACACGGCCAATACATGTCAAACACAGTATAAAGCTGTCATGTCTTGTCATGTCATTTCAGCTTTTTGGGCATCAGTCTCGGCCCCTATCCAACACATGTCAAACACAGTATAAAGCTGTCATGTCCTGTCATTTCATGTTCTGTCTTGTCCTGTCCTGTACTGTATTGTACTGTACTGTACTGTATCTGATTTTTTTTTTGTTTGTTTAGGTATCTTGTCGGCTGTTTGAACTGACTAACACGTTGAAATCAGTTTTTATACCAACAAAAAACGATCGACAGCTGTTATACAATTTTCTTGCTGGAACAGCAATTTTTGCGGGTTTATACTTCGTTGCATTCATTGTTGTTCAGATTCCTCAATAATTGGTAAGCCCTTCAATTTCACCCCCCTTCAAAACTATATCTGTATGCGTTAGGGTTTAAGGTTTAGGGTTTTTTCAAATGTGTTATTGGTTACTTTCATACATATGCCTAAATGCAAGAAATGCAACCTACTTTCATTTATTTGTGTATTATATTATAGCATCACGCTTTCATTTCTTTCTGTTACAACATTGTACTTTCAGTTTTTTTTAGGGTTAATCTCGAAAAAGAAAAAACATTATATTTTGTGTTTTTTTTTTCTGGATTAAACCTCTTTATTTTTTGCCTGAAAAAACCCTTATATTTTTTTCATTTTTACCGATCTGGCCCTTTTAGTAATTTTTTTTTTCCAAAAAAATGTAAAATGTGAGCGTTTTTTCCGAGAAAAACTAAAAAAGTGGAGGGTTTATTTGGAAGCATTTTGAAGGTTGAGGGTTTTTTTCCGGAGAAAATTCAAAGTTGAGGGCTTTTTTAGAAAAAATGAAAAAAATACAAGGTTTTTTTTCAGGCAAAAAATAAATTTGAGGTTTAATCCAGAAAAAAAAAATACAAAATACAATGTTTTTTCTTTTTTGAGATTAACCGAAAAAAAATTGTAAAATGTTAGGGTTTTTTCGAGAAAAACTAAAAAGGTTGAGGGTTTATTTGGAAACATTTAGAAGGTTGAAGATTTTGTTCTGAAAAAAAAAAAAAAACAAAGTTGAGGGATTTTCGGAAAAAATGAAAAAATACAAGGTCTTTTTAGGCAAAAAGTAAATTTGAGGTTTAAACTGTAAAAACACAAAATATAAAGTGTTTTTTGAAATTAACCATTATGATAATAACTAAATTATTTTTAAATAAATCAATTTATAACGTTTTACGAGTTCGACCTGTTTCGGTTTTAACTAAATTTTTACTTTTTCCAATTTGAATTTACAGGCATGATGGGGTCCATATTTCTTGTTTACAAACACGAAACACACATACATGGAGCACAAAAATCCATCTATACATCTAAAACTCAATACGTGTCTCCAACAATTTTGGAGAAAATCGTGACCGTTGATTTCCAATAGTTTGCATATTTGGACGCTATCGCCCTTATAAAATGTTAGCGAGCAATTAAGATGTCATGGTAAAAAAGTAAATTCTTTTGTAATCTTTTCAATTTGTGTACTTTAGTTTGTTGAAAATGAAAGACAACAAAAAAAAACATGTAAGTATTTGTAATTTAGATTTGTGGGAAAATATTTGGAAACAAAAAGGAAGCCATTGGCTCATGTTTTGTATTTTGCATTATTAAAGGTTCAATATCATGCTTTTGGGATTTTTAGTGGGTCAATTTTGTTTTTACTTTTTTTTACTAGTATAGGTAATGTACTTTATTTCTTATTGATATTAGCAAAAGTATACACTTTTTTACCCATAGTAGTAGTAACGTAGTTGTACTGTTTTTGTGGGTAATAACAATTAAGAGTATATAACCTGAAACTTGTTAGTATACGATCTTATTATTTATGTACAATGCCAAGTGTTTTAATTTTTTATCTATATGATATACTTTTTTTTAATAATATTTTTACAGGTGATACCAATATATAACTGCAAGGATCTTAAAATTTAAGGATAATGACTTAAAAGGGTAATATATTTTTTGATTTGTACAGATTTGGTCACTGAGTTTTTTTCGTCAATATTTGTCATTTCACCTTGTTTAATTATACACATTCAGTCTTTATGACAGACTATTCTGGGTAAAACCGGAAAAAAAATGACTTAATAAGATAATATATTTTTCACTGTTTACACATTTAATCTTTTTTTTTTTTTTTTTTTTTTGCATATTTAGTCCTTAATATTTTTTTTGTTCCAAAATAAGTTCTAGCTGTTTTTGTACACATTCAATACTTATGGCTAGTTTCTTTAGATTTTTTACGACATCTTACGTAGGACAATCATTAATGAGGTGTTCGGGGCTATTCATTATTATGGCAACCGCGACCTTAGCTACTTGGTTGCCGAGGTCTTGTGTTTCGCTTAGGTCTTGTGTTCCGAACGTCGTAACTTTTTCATATGATCTCGGATTTTAATGATCTTTATATCTACGCGTTCGTATTTGTTGTGTTCTAAACGTCGTAACTTTTTCATACAATCTCGGATTTAACGATATTTATATTCACGTGTTAGTATATTAGTCTACCACAACTTTCGTTTAGATTACTCCCGTTAAAAAGTAATGAATTTTTATTTACGATCATTATATACATTCGTTCTTTATAAATATATGTATGAACGTTCTTTTATAAAACCGTAAGTAACAATATATTACTTTTTAACGGGAGCAATCTAAGATGCTTGGTTGCTTAGGTCTTGTTGTTTGGTTTAGGTCTTGTGTTCGTGGTTTAGGTCTTATGTTCTGAATGTCATAACTTCTTCATACGATATCAAATTTTAACGATCTTTATATCCACATGTTCGTATTTAAGTCTACTACAACTTTGGTTTAGATTACTCTCGTGAAAAACTAATATATCTTTATTTACGATCTTTATATACATGCGTTCTTTGTGAATATATGTATAAACATTTTTTTTTATAAATCGTAAGTAAATTTTTTTAACAATAGTAATCTAAACGAAAATTATATTAGACTCAAATACGAACGTGTGGATACAAAGATCGTTAAAATCTGAGATTGTATAAAGAAGTTACGACGTTGATTACACAAAACCTAAACACCAAACAATCAAGGTCGTAGTGGCCATAAGTATGAACAACCCCGAATACCTCATTAATGATTGTCCTATGTAGGATGTCGTGAGAAAAACCTAAAAAAACTGTTCATAAGTACTAAATGTGTACAAAAACAACAATGACTTATGTTGCAACAAAAATATATTAATGACTAAATGTGAAAAAATATTAACGACTAAATGTGTACAAAGTGAGAAATATATTACCTTATTAAGTCATTTTTTCCGACTTAGCTGGAGTAGCCGGTCATATGGATTGAATGTGTACAGTTAAACAAGTTGAAGGGGAAAATGTGGACAAAAAAAACTAAATGACCAAATGTGTACAAATCGAAAAGTATATTACCTTTTTAAGTCGTTACCCCTAAAATTTAACTTCATGTTTCGGGCGAACTAATGGGCAAAATAACATGTAGCACTATAAAAAAAATTATGATTTGTGAACCAATAATGTAACATCCCAAGATTTGTCATTTATAGTCCATGGGGATAGAAGGGTGAAGCCATGAAAGTCTAAGGGCGAAATTGCAATTATTGGTATCAGGAGGAGTACGCTGCACGTACATAAGGGTAAGCTGAGCGTACTAGGCGCACCCTAGTACGCTGGGCGTACACTTGTGTATGCTGGGCGTACTCATGGCAGAAAGAAACCCTTATATTTAGGGTTTGGGGTACTATATAAGCAACATTATGAGTACAAGACCCTCCCTTACCGCAACCACCACTGCTTAGAGTCGTTTTCCCCAAACCCTAGCCATTTCCATGAGTGTTTGAGCTTTTTGAGTGTTTTAAGAAGAAGGTGTTGCGTCAAGGAGTTAGAGAAGAAGATCAAACTTGTAGATCTGAAGTTGGTTTGTGCCCTAGAAGCTCCAGAAGGTAAAAAGCTTGGAACTTTATACTTGTATGAGATAGATCTAGTCATTTTAGCTTTATGGAAGCATTCTTGTCCCAAAAGTCCCAAAATGGTGCATGTTATGATTTGGACGAAGTGAGTTGTCCTTTCAGACCTTAGAAGAGGTCCTAAGTGATACAAATGGTGTCCTAATAGCTAGATTTGTCTCATGCATGAAGTAGGAAGGTCTTAATGGATTAAGACCATGTGTTAAGAACTTTCTGGATGTCCAAAGTGATAAAGTTCGAGACTTTATAGTCCTATGGCACATTTGGTCGATGGATCTGGAGTTTGGGCTTAAGTGCTTAAGCCATTAAGCACTTATTAGGGTTTTGGTGAAACTCTGTATACGCCCAGCGTAAATCCAGTACGCCCATCGTACTTGGTCAACCACCCCGATGGTGGTCAACATCAGGACGAGTACGCCCCGCGTACCAGAGGAGTACGCCCCACGTACGTCCTCTGTTGGGCCTTTGACATTTGGGCTTCGGGTTTTGGGCTGTTTATGGACTAATTGGTTTGGGCCTTTCCTGGAATTTATGGATATTATGTTTTGGGCCAAGTCTTGTTAAGGGATCTTGGAATTAGGCCCAATTAGGGAGTGGGTCCCAATTTGGTAAATTGGGCCAATAATGGGTTTTGCATAAGGATTTTCAAGGTTATGGACTTGGCATTGGGCCTTTGCCCAATAAAGAGAATGGACATGATGGATTGTGGGGATCCTTAGTCAAGATTGTTATGTTGTGTAATGACTTGGTATTTATTACGTGATAGTTCGGGATTTCTGGCGAGATAGCGATTCGGGAGTTCGATTCTTCAGTTCATATCGGCATTGCCAGGTGAGTTATCCTCACTGTACTCAAGGGTCTAAGGCACCAAGGCCGACCCTTTGATTTTGATTTGTTATTTGGGATTGTTACTGTTGTGATATGTTAGATTGGTATCCTGGTAGATAGGATGGTTATGTGCTGGTATGATCTGTTAGATTGGTATCCTGGTAGATAGGATGGTAATATGCTAGTATGATCTGTTAGATCGGTATCCTGGTAGATAGGATGGCTATATGCTGGTATGATCTGTTAGATTGGTATCCTGGTAGATAGGATGGTTATATGCTGGTATGATATGTTAGATCGGTATCCTGGTAGATAGGATGGCTATATGCTGGTATGATCTGTTAGATTGGTATCCTGGTAGATAGGATGGTTATATGCTGGTATGATCTGTTAGATCGGTATCCTGGTAGATAGGAAGGTTATATGCTAGTATGATCTATTAGATCAGTATCCTGGTAGATCCGATATGGTTATGCTTAGTGACCTATAGTTTGGTCTGACTGTCTGTATGCTGGTAGGATATTACCTGTTATATGTGCACATGATTGATTGGTAGTTGAGGGTATTCCATCCCGAGGATGATAGGACCCTAGTATGTTGTCTTTATAGACTGTTATATGATTATCTGATATAGGTGCACATGTTTGATTAGTATGTTGGCATTCCAACCCGATGGTTGAGGGCTTGGGGTGTTCCAACCCGATGGTTGATTGGACCCATAGTATGTTGGCATTCCAACCCGATGGTTGAGGGCCTGGGGTATTCCATCCCGATGGATGATTGGACCCATAGTATCGGTTATATATGTATTGTGTGGGTGGGCATTCCAACCCGATGGTTGTGGGCCGAGAGTATTCCATCCTGAGGATGATTGGACTTGTAGTATGTCGGCATTCCAACCCGATGGTTGAGGGCTTGGGGTATTCCATCCCGATGGATGATTGGACCCATAGTATGCTGTTTGTTATTGTATGTGTATTGTTGTGTGTATGGGTATTTTGGGGGTAACTCACTAAGCCTTCGAGCTTACAGTTTCAGTTCATTGTTTCAGGTTCAGCGGATGACCGCGGGATGGCGAAGGCATGACCGTACACTTCCTCGATTGATGATTTTGATTTCTGGGAACTCTGATGTTTAAACTATTTTGAAAACAAATTGTAATAACTATGTGGTTTGAAATGATTTAAAAAGTTTTAAATTGGCTCGAATTTTATGGATGTTACAAGTTTGCATCAGAGCCTTGGTTTGAGTGAATTAGAGGAACATTCGTGTGAATCCAGTCTCAAACTAAGGAAATAGATTTTCGAAATGATTTTTTTAAATGGTTTTCAAAATAAGTAAAAGAGGATGCAGAGTGTACGATCAGCCGGAGCTAGTAAGTAGACCCTAAAATACCATACAGTTATTTGATATTGTGATATGTTAGAACAGCATGCTAGTACTAGGCTAGGGATCTTCAGGAATTGCATGATAGAATCGCCTGATTACATGATGCCTGCTAGCCTAGGGTTTTCCTTATATGAGATTGACATCATTACTGTAGTTGCTTGTGTATGTATCACGACTGTACATAATTAAGATCTTATAGCCTGAGAATGTTTGATTTGGCCTTATGTTCTATTCTTGTTGATTAGGAGCTTAGGGTAGGATCAGATATTCAAAAGTCTATAGGGTCCAACGTTATGTATGGCTAGCATACACTAGTGCTGCAAGGTTGGTGGAAGTTTCATGGATGGGTGGGTTGTGTGAGGCCAGGAGGCCAGTTTCGAGATATTTAGCATTCCTCTAGGAGTGAGGATTGAACGCTCGCTATGATTATGGATATTGTTAGGGCGTTGTGTTGATACTTGAGACAAATA